GGACGTTTTGCAAGTTCCAGAAAAGCAAACAAGTGCTGAAGTAAAACCACTTGTCCCAGTTTGGGTAGCTAAACACCTTCTCAATGACAACAACAGTTCTTCCCGCTCTTGAAGCGCCCCTTTCAATTCAGTTTCAACTTTCGAATCACTAGTAATCTCCAATCTACCCTTCATAGAGTCAAGTTCTTCACGGAGGCCGTGTATCTGTGCGTCTAACGCAGATACTCCCTTTGCCTCATCATCCAAGCGCATCTGGAGAACCCGGGCAAGTTTTTGTAGATCATCGTACTCAAGCGTCTTCGCTGTCTTGTTCACCTTCGCTTTGTTGGTTATGGCCATGGCATTCTGCGCGTATTCCAGGGTGGAGGTGGTCTCCGTCAAGTTGGTTGCCGCAGGGGACACCGTTGCGAGCATCCATGTCTTGCTGTTGCCGCCAAAGCTCTCCGACAGCAGACGAGTTAGCTTTGAGGCGCGCAGCGAAATAAAGGTGTCGCCCCCTTTGCGGTCGCTGAACGAGTTCATCGCCCGACCCAGCATCAACAGTGACTGGTTAATCTTCTTGGCCTCCTCAAACGCGACCCCGGTGGACTCCGCCTTGCTCTGGCGCTCACTCCCAGCCAAATCCACTAACAAAACGACGCTCTCTACATCCCGCATCTCCAACGACTCGTACTTCTGCGAGATGGTAATTTGAATGATGGCGTGCGACCGCGAGCTCGTCTCGTTCATCTTTGTCTCCCCCGTCTGACGATTGGCGTTGCCCTTCCTAAGGAGCTCCAGCACCCGCTCCACGCTGAGCACGGAGTGCACCCCCGCGCCCTTCACGTAAACGCGGTGCTGACTGTCCTCGTGAACCTCCAGCGACTCCGGCTCCTGCCCCCGTACCCGGGGAGCAAGGAGATCGCGCACCTTCTCCATGTACACCTCAACCATCGTCACAAAGAACTTGATCGTCGCCGCGCTGTCCGACTCCACTCGGAGCTGCGCCTCCTCAATCATGTCCTGCGCAAAGCGCGGAGCCACACCTTGGCCGTCCTTGCTGTCTAGATCACCAAACAGGCTGTGCGTCTTTCCACTGCCTGTCTGCCCGTAGGCAAAGAGACAGACGTTGAATCCCTCAAATGCCTCCTTCAACATTGGGCGCCCAATCGCCTCGTAGACCTCGTCCTGGCCCCCGCTAAGCACACGATCAAACTTAAACATGGTGGCGCCTCGGCCAAACTCGGCATCAATCAACACAGCACGTGGATCATCTGCATCGGCGTGCACTATTTCCTTTTCGCCCTTTCGGGGAGGACAAATGCGAACAGTCACCTGAACGCGACCGGCTGCCTTTGTCGCCTCTCCCATCACCTTACACCACAGAAGTTCCTTGGCACAGGCAACAACAAGAAAAAAGAATAGCGGCACCGACAGTTGGGGGTGCTTCACCGTTTGCTTCTTCTGCCCAACGAGTCAATATAAGTCATCGCAGACAACGCAAACAATTTATTTATTTTATGGCAGGGATTTCAGCAAAAAGCAGGTTTGAGGCCAGGAAAAAAAAGCAAAAGCGAATCCCAAAAAGGACAGTGACAGTGTCAAGCAAGCCTCCAATTACTCCGCCGTGCGGTCGTCGCTCAAGACTCCTATTCAGACAAAAAGCCATCCACACGAAACCGTAACACATCTAACTGGAAAAAGCTCTCGAGTTCCTCACTGTGTGGTCCAAAGAGATACATCTGACTGAGCGAAAATTGAGGATT